TTTTCCAACTTTACCGAACTCAGACGCCATGGCACGGATGCTGCGTTGCGTTCACAGTTGTTTGTGGAAGTGAAAAACTTGTGTGGTTGATGAATGGTACATTCTGAGATAGTTAAATTGTCTTATTCTGTGATTCATGGCAAGTAGAGTCGAAAACAGCTCGCTAAACGTGGTTTTACATCTAATCTAAAATATAGTGAACAGAAAGGGTTGATTCTTATGTCTCGCGTGCTTACATCTTCTGAAGGCAATGCGGTTGAGGAAGCTGTCACGCATAATTACACGTCCCTCCCAGTTGATGCCCCGGCCCCTACACCACATGAGGGTCAAAAGTCTGAATGTGAAAAAAAAGATCTGAAAGTGAAAATATGTTTTGAATCTGAAAATATTATATTTGAATCTGAAAACATAAAATCTGCAACCGCAAAATCTAATAAACCAAATAATGAAATATATTTTTTCAATCTTTTTTCTATTTTTTTTTTGTCAAAACTCGTGCACTTATTATTTTTGTATTTGTATTGTTGTATTTTTCAATGTTTAACAACAAAACTTACTCACATTTGCTATTCAAATCATCAAAACTTTTGACCTGCATTTGGCTCCATAAAAAACAAGCATTCATTAACAACAACATAATAATAACAACAACAACATTCATTAATTCAACTAAAACCTAACTTAAAAAGTCTCTTGGGACGATGCCCTAAAATCAACAAGAAGTTAGGCATTTAGCTTACTGTGCAAACATTCCCTCTATTCTTTGCACTTTCTAGAAGCTACACCACCAAGGCCTTAAATGTTTTAAAGCGTTTTGTTTTGTGTTACGCTGTTGCCCTGGCAACCTGTTCTTCACAGTCAAAACGGAGGTACTTTTGAGGGACTATATGCTCCAATGTTAACTAAACTTGGCACAGCTTTAACTAACAAAATGAAGCTTCAGCCTAAATTCAGTCAGGAAGACAAGCTGAACAATATGCATTTCACATGTTGCCGCCTCCCTTCGTCTGGTTACGGTGGTGGTCAATTCAGGGCGGGCTGTTTTAGAAGTAGCCCACCAGACGTGGGCAGTGTTTCCTTCAACCAATCGCATCGGTGGCTTTTAACTTTGAAAAACTGTTCTCTCTGTTTCTGTCAGTTGGTATTTTAGCGCACACCACCTGCAACCCTTCACCACACCTCCAATCAACAGCAAAAACCCGGCGTATAATCCGATTACACTCCAACGGGGCGTAATTGGATACAATATCTGTACTCTGCATCCTGGTTTGTCTCACGACAGGATGGAGTTCAAGCTCCAAAGAATTGATGTCTGTTTAATAAATCATTGTTTCATTTAAGAAGTCGCTCCTGAAGGAAATATATTAAAAGGGTGCACGTTTTGTTGGTTGTTAAAAATAAAAGGTGACAAACATTTTAAGAGATTAACTTGATATAGTTGTTTCAGACCTTTTTTATCTGTGATTTCTTCTCCAGTGGTGTGAACATGAAAGTATCCATTCAGGCTACAGGATCTTCCATTGCCACTGTGTTGTCGAAAAAGGAAGGTATACCAAGAATTTACAACTGACAATAACGATAATAATCTCCTTTTTAGAAGCATATCTAGTCTCAAGAAGGCTAATCAATAAAAGGTCCATACCTTTTAATACCTTTTTTGTTTTGTTTTTTCATGGGATAAATCAAAAAGTATTCTTTTCCTCCCAGGTCAACTGAAGGTGAAGACAAGCTCTAGGACATCTGTACCATCTGGTTATTACTACCAGGGCGTTTGGCGGACACTAGAAGCCACCACAATATCCCAATTCAACAGGTCTGAAATCACCCAGTGTCTGAAAGGCAAAGTCGTCCACATGTATGGAGACTCCACAATCAGGCAGTGGTTTGAATTCCTCAACACAGCTCTACCCGATAACTGATCCATAGGGATGTGTTTGATAGTGTTCATTTTTGTTTCCTACTGCAGTTTAATACGTTCCCCCTTTCATACTTTCAGGTCTTAAGGAGTTTGATTTACACAGCCGGAGACAAGTTGGACCTTCTATGTCCTTAGACTATGAAAACAACATCTTGGTGACGTACCGCTGCCATGGTCCTCCTATCCGCTTTGGCCTCATCCCAACTAGAGAGCTTCGTTACATTGCTAATGAGATAGACGACTTGATCGGAGGCCCCAACACTGTCGTAGTCGTTGGCATTTGGTCTCACCTCAGCACTTACCCCATTGAGATCTACATCAGGAGAGTACACAGCATCCGTAGAGCGGTGGTGCAACTGCTGGACAGGGCTCCAGGCACGCTGGTCCTCATACGGACAGCAAATGTCAAAGCTTTGACACTTTATGAGACAATTACCAACAGCGACTGGTATTCACTACAGCGTGATAAGGTGCTCAGAGAAATGGAAAAGGACTGAAAGTTCATCTGATCGATGCCTGGGAAATGACCTTGGCCCACCACCTGCCGCATAACCTCCACCCGCCACCTTTATTAAGAATATGATAAACCATATTTTGTTGTGTATATGTCCACAAAAGGGCGGCTAGATCTGTTTGGCCCAGGGCGGGCCACGCCACGTTCAGCGGGCTACCCGTCTCGGATCCCGATCGCCAAGTGCCGGATCACACTGGGAGCGGGTGATGGCGCTCGCTGCCCAACTCCAGGCCACCTACTTCTTCCACGCTGGGCCGCAACGCACCTCCTTCTGCGCTGGCTCCACGACGCAATCGACTCCAGCCCTGTCTCCGCAACTCTCGCCATCGACTCCAGCCCCGGCTCCACGACTCACGTTCTGTCGCCGCCCCTCCCGCTCTTTAGGGTTTTGGGGGCCGTCTGGAGTCCGGCCCTTGAGGGGGGTGTCCTGCAGCCGGCGACCCCGAGCCCGGCGCCCTTTGTCCTGCAGCCGGCGCCTCCGATAGCGGCTTCCTGTGTCCTGCAGCCGGCGCCCCCGACCTCGGCTTCCCGTTCCCGATTGTGACAAAATGTTCTGCTCGTGTTGATATCTTATTATTTTGGGAAGATATGAGCTAATGAACTTTGCAAGGGGTGAGGTTAATCAATGCACACAATTTATGAAAATCTACATTTTTAGCTTATTTTCATGATTCTTTTCAAATTCGCGCAGTGTGATCTCCAGACCTTAGGCTCTAAAAATTGCATTTTGCCGGAAGAAATTCCAAACTATGTGTGTAGAGAGCATTTTCAAAAAAACACAATTTAGCATGAAAGTTGAAGTTTTTTTAACTCAACCATACTTTATTTAATCTGCTCCATATTTCTCATGTAGCATGAACTTCTCACCCTGTAGACATCCATATGATCTTTTTTAACGTTAGTCATAGCGCCACTTGGTGACAACAGAAAGATGAATGTATTTTTTTTTACACCATGCTCCTCATAGGTTATGCTCCTCAAAGGTTAATCTGATCCATCTCAAAATATCTTAGAGAGTTAAGACCTTAATACACATGTTTGATGAGACTCTGGGCCTGGAGAGATGTAAAGGAAGTTAAATTTTCTAGTATCCAGTAAAAAACAATAGTGGCATTTTGAGAGGCTTTCATTTCTAAAATGGTACATCAGAATGTCCTGGTTATCGCTGAGTGACGCCTAGGGTATGTGTACTATCCGTCTGACGTGAATGTATCATGTAACTATTGATAGTTTCATTTTTCAATCTAATCTGAAATTGACCATTCTCGTGATGGAGGATATTGGCTCATGTATGGTATTTTGAGAGGCTTTCATTTTGGAATAGTACATCAGAATGTCCTGGTTATCCCTGAATGACACCTTGGGGATGTGTACAATCAATCTGAATTTAATTCATCATGTAACTATTGATTGTATCCTTTTAAATCTACTCTGAAATTGACCTGAAGTAGTCTCGTGAATTAGATTTTGAAGGAAATTAATTGATTGTTCAACCCTGCATGTCAAACCTGAATGTCCGAGCCATGATTATCTTGAATGTCTACCCTGAACCTCGTCCCTGTGTTGTGTAAGTTCCTGTGTCCAAACCTTGTCTGCGTTTTTCTGTGTCTTGCAACTCTGTGTCTGAGTTCTGCCTGTCCCGTTCGTGACACATACTTGTTATATACCCACTTAAAACTGTGATTGGAGTGGCAGTCTGAGCACAAAGGTGAACAAGGTTAACAAATGCTTGAGGACACTAATCACTTCTTTTTAAGGATTCGTTTCAATTGAGATATGTTATCTTTAACAGAGAAGCCCATATATTTGCTTTTTTTCTGTGATCTTTTGGCACATTGGTGTGTGTGTGTATAGGGAAAGGAGCCGTTCTGTTGTTTTTGACTGATCATGATAAAACATGTATGCGGTATCTAACCTGTAAACTGGTGAGATAAAGGCATGGATCACGATCTGATCATTACTCTCCAAACAAATGTTATCCGGTAGGACACGTAAAACGCTCAAACAAAGTAAATATGAAGTTTAATTGAATCAAAAATCTGTTGTCGTTGTAACATCTTTACTCATTGAGAAATTTGCACTGGTTCAATAAAGAGCACTCTCTTCAGGACTTTTTAATCGCTACTAATGATAATACCACCCGGAACGTATTTTATCTCCCTACAAGTTTAATGTATCTCAGACTCTGAAATACCGAAGATAATTTAGACTCTGCTAAAAGGGTCCCTGTCCCCCGTTTGTTATGAGAGTGGAGTGAGAGTGCAAGTGTCCGTAGAACGTTTACAGTTTGGTAAAGTTGGCAAGATATTCACACTTACTGGTATGATAGCTGGTCAGCGAGATGTTGTTAAACACAAACGACACCTCTGTGACGTAGACCGTACTCACAAAGTCTTATCTCATAATTTTGACTTTTTATCATGTCGACTTTTTATCTCATAATTTCAACTTTCTAACCATTTTTTTCTTTTTTTGGCGGAAATGGGGTTCCATAGTGAAGAGACCCACCTTTCGTCCAGTCGCAAGGAGCCTGCGCATGCGCATATCTTGTCATTCTAACTACTTTCAAACGGCACCCTTCTTTTTTTTTTTTTAAGTGGCGGAAATGGGCTTCCACCGGTTTGAGGGCGGAAAATGTCAGTAGCTTTCGGTGCAAAAAAATGAATTTGGCGGGTGGTGATGTTTAGGTATTTATATCAGGTACCTCTTCAGCGGCGTGTATGGTAAGTAACTTTCTGTTCCCAGCTGATGCCCGGTGTCTGCGGCAGGTCTCATCAGGAATCAGTAAACATTTATTGCCATAATATGTCCGACATACAAGGAATTTGACTTGGCGGTTGGTGCGTAACAGCAGACAGTGCGACAATGGCCAACAATGTTTAAAAAGTAAAAATAAAGTGCACCAGCGAACAGAAAGTGACGGGAGTAAGTGACGTGTGTCGTGTGAAGAAAGTGACCGGTGGATTGTCAGAGTCAGTGGGGAACCGCGATCGGTTGACGAGCCCGACTGCCGACGGGAAGAAGCTGTTCGTGTGGCGGGAGGTCTTAGTCCTGATGGACCTCAGCCTCCTGTCTCATGTCTTCGGCTGCGGCGTTGTTGTAGACGCAGTGGATCCTCATCCCGGCCGGGTACGGTGTCTGGAAGCGTATTTGATTCTCTTTGAGTACAAAGACATAAAGAAACGCCTTCAGTTTGTTTGCGCAAAGGCACAACTCTCCCTTCGTATGTGATCTTTCTGGCACAAGCTTTTAAAAGTATTTGGTTTGTGTCAAGGGTTCGCTCTGTCTTCCATAAATAACATTGAGCTTCCATCACTACCCTTCACCAACGGATATTGTTCCGACACGAGCGCGCTTCCTGACCCGCACTAGACGTGGAGCTGCTGTTTGAGGCAGTGCCGCCGCGCTTCCTTCAACGTAATGTCCTGTACCCGTGTGAATGTTTTTTCATACTTCTACTACTTCTGCTCCACCACATTTCAATGGGAATTTTGTACTATACGTACATCACAATACATTTATTTGACGGTGTTGTTGTTGAGTAGCTTGTCAATAAAAGATTCACATACGGTTAAAAACATGTTCGAAGAGATCACATCAAGTATTTTTTTAATAAAACTGGTTCCTTGGGGCAAATAAACACAGAGGTGAGGTCAATTTGTTTTCTATTTTGATTGCACTACAACATATCTGCCTTCACTGTCCCTGATCTCTTTGACAAGGTCAAAATTAAGAGTTGTGTACTAGTATGGCCACTCATCTTTCTGCAGTTTGCATTGGATCTTTAGAAAGTGTTCTTATATCCTGTTAGAAGAATTCTCACTCGACACCGTGTAATATCATCAAAAAGGACATTTAATTTTTGCAAACAGTTGCCACAACACCACAACATTATAAACATCATTGCACAAACATGTTGATTATCAGATAAACCCAGAACACCATGTGCTGTGGAGAATTGTCCTCTTTCAAGTAAGAGCTTCCTCTTTGCTAAAGAAAAGTATCTCCACCACACCCCAGTCACGTGTGGTTCATCCATATACCAACAAATCAAAATGACAATGGGGGGATGTATAGAAGTTCACTTCCGCCACAAAAATTATTTTTGTGGTGTCTTACGTGAAAGCACATATTGTTTTGCATTTACTGTCCTTAGAGAGTCTTACAGAAACCTGGCGGTTGGCAGCAGTCAGGCTGCAGTCAGAGCACAGAGGAGACGCCCAGACTGAAAGTTGCGCGCGCATGCGCAGAGCCGACACTACAAGAGAACGACTGTTACGGAATAAATACCACGCGGAACGTATTTTACCTCCCAATAAGTTTGGTTTATTTCAGACTCGGAAATACCGAAAATGATTTAGACTCCGGTAAAAGCGGACCACTGTGCGCAGTGTGGTATTATATTCACAGATTCGGACTTCCCGACGAGACGTTGTTAAAACACAAACGAAACCTCTCTGTGACCGTTATGACGCCAACATCCTGCTGCAAGGAGCCTGCGCACATCTCGTCATTCTAACGACTTTCTAACGGTAACCTTCTTTTTTTTTAATGGCGGAAATGGGCTTCCACAGGTTTGAGGACGGAAAATGTCAGTAGCTTTCGGTGCAACAAACAAAAAAGAAGTTGGCGGGTGGGGGGGTTCAGCGGCGTGTGCGGTCACTAACTTTCTGTTCCCAGCTGATATCTGCCCCCCCCGAGTGGATCCTCATCCCGGCCGGGTACGGTGTCTGAAAGCGTATTTGATTCTCTTTAAGGCGTTTCTTTAAGCTTCACAAAGTATTTGGTTTGTGTCAAGGGTTCGCTCTGTCTTCCATAAATAATATTGAGCTTCCATCACTACCCTTCACCAACGGATATTGTTCCGACACGAGCGCGCTTCCTGACCCGCACTAGACGTGGAGCTGCTGTTTGAGGCAGTGCCGCCGCGCTTCCTTCAACTCCGTTCTGGCGGCCTGTTTGTTCAACTCGTTGTTCTGTTTCTGTTAAACGTGTCGCGTGGCCGCTGAGCTCTGTGGCGACACATGGACATAATGTGCATCTTAAAGTTGTCAAAGTCTAAGATCGAACCGACAGGTTGCGAACCCATGCAGCAAAATGCAAACACATCACTCTGCTAGTCGCGCTGTGCGCTGCGCCACGGGGCAATACGCAGTGTTTGGTCTTAACATATTAATGGAAGGTGATTGACATGGAGGAAACCTTCTGGTGTCGTGGATCTGAAACAACTGGTTACCTTGGGCGTGTCTTGGAACACATCCAAAGAAATGTATCGATTCTTAATTGTCACCCAATTAAAGTTAACAAGAAGCATCCATATAAAAACGCCATGAGGTCGTACATACGATCTTTCCGAACAAGAGATGGACACACAAAAAGTGAAGGAATTGAGTGAAACAGATCGTACACTTGCAAAACTTCTATTAGGAATCAAATACCTTATAAAGCTCCCAAAAGGAAATTTTATTAAATAATTGTGTTTTAACAGTCACAATAAATAAATCATTGAAAAACAAAATAAAGTAGCTCTAAAGAAAGCATGCTGGACAGCAGAAGTCCTGCTCCAAAGGTGGTTTCCCAGTGCAAACCCAGTGGAACCACAGATGGATGTCACGGAAGACACGGCCAAGGTAACCAGTTGTTTTAGATGCCCTCCACCAGAAGGTTTCCTCCATGTGAATCACCTTCCATTAATATATCAAGACCAAACCCTGCGTACTGCCCCGTGGCGCAGCGCACAGAGCGAGCAGCAGCGTGATGCGTTTGCATTTTGCTGCACGGGTTCGTAACCTGGTCGGTTCGATCTTTTAATATATTTTCTAAACTTTGTTTTGGCCGTAAGAAAACAATATCCTTTTTTTATCAAAATGTGTCGCTGCAGCCTCGTGAAGAAGTAGCGTTGCACATGTCCTGAAGTGTTCCAAGACACGCCCAAGGTAACCAGTTGTTTTAAATCCACGACACCAAAGGTTTCCTCCATGCTGATCTACATCAACGCAATGAATAAATTATACTGAGGGTCAACAAATTGCTGTGGGTCTCCGTGGTGCACTGCTAAGAGCAGCTACCAGGTTAATATTTTGATGTTTTGATCCCCCGGGTTCGAATCCAGGTTGTGCCGATCTTTCCTTTAATATATTTTTTTATGTAAATGTTTTCATACGTGGCTGTGATGTGGTGCTCACTTATACAATCGTAAACGCTGCAATGGATTTGTGATGCGTTTTGAAGATTTTCAGCAATATGTTTGTGAATGTGTGACGAATCAGGGAACTGAGGCGGACACATCTGCAGCTGTGGAGTGAACACAAACACGCACGCGTAGGGAAACCAGTAGGTGGAAAAACCACTAGGGGTGTAACACAGGCGGTTTACCGCGGCCCGCCGGAGGCAAACGCTATTTTGGAGCGATCTGTAATATATATATATATATATATATATATATGTATGTATGTATGTATGTATGTATGTGTATGTATGTGTATGTATATGTATATACATATATATATATATGTGTGTATATATATGTACATACATACCGTTATGTATTTTTCTTAAAAACACGTGTTGAAGTGGCGTGTCTCCTACTTGGTTCTACTCAAAGTTGCTACAGCCTGGAGTCTGAAGTCATCAACGTTGACTACCATCGTTTAGGTAAGTACATTTTTCCTTTGTGTTTAACGCAATAATATGTTTATATTCTTTTCAGTTTACTCATAAAATATGCTGTCTGGTAGTAATCACCTCAGCATTTAATAAAAATGGGTTTTAATCAGTAGTGTAAATTGTAGATACACGGTTCATTCCGAGCGCGGGGGGGCGCCTAACTAATGCCATTGTAGTTATTATGAAAAAAAAAAAGTTCAAATGTAATATGAAGTCAAACCCTTCTTAAATATAGTTGTTTTGCCAAGTTTCAAAGTGCTGCCGACTGTTTATCTGCACACAAAAAAACGATCTCACCAGCCCACACCCACCGGTTAACTTTTGGTGTTTCCTAACAAACGGATTTGTAATTCTGTGAACTGCATAACAACTGATTCCTAACGTTAACAATGCGTTTTGTTCCTTAGTTCACATTTTCTTGCAGATACCTTGACCAGAGCATTACCGGTTATCTTCACCCAAGAGACCCACTGTTGGACAATCTTTTTGGATTTAAAGGTAAATAATGCATTGTTAGTCACAATGTGTAGTTACTGGGCCAAAAGGAGAAGAATATTGAAAGGATTCGAGAGGGATAAAAAGGAAATTGCGGCTGCAAACAATTGTCTACTTGCTCTTTTTCCTGACTTTGACCAAGTAAATCCCCATGTTAATGAACATCTACATGGAATGGCTACAACAAGCCATGTACAAACTGTAACCCCTGTAGCACAGGAAATAATTGTTGATGAGGCATGTGAAGCTGGTGAGATGTTTTCCTCAAGCACAGAAGATGATGAAGAGGAAGAGGATTGCCTAAGGACACAATTGGCAGGGTGGGCTATTGACAACATGATCCCACACGTGGCACTTGGTAAGCTCTTAACCATTTTGTCCAAGGATCATCCAACCCTTCCTAAAGACCCAAGAACCCTTCTGAAAAAGGTGACTTGTGTTAAGACAACAGAACTTTCAGGTGGTGTATTTTTTGTTTGGTGTGATATATATATATATATATATATATATATATATATATATATATATATATATATATATATATATCGGCCGTCTACACCCCTCCCTCTCCTTTTGTTGTAAATTGTTTGTTTGGTTAACATAACTAATATGGTTCCTGCTGCGTATGTAACACTGTAAATATAGTGTTAAGCTGTAGATGTGAGTAAGTCTACAGATTTTCTTTGAAGAGCCAGGAAGTAGCATCAGTATTTCCCCTGCCTCCCCCCCTTCCTGCTGAAAAAGTGCATTATTATTAAAAAAATAAAATAATACATTGAAACACTGAGCATTGTACGTTGTCTTTTGTCTACGCAAAAAATATGATTATACATAGAAAACCTCATGTTGAGTGCAAGGGTGCGTTCAGCTCACAGTTGTAATACTGGAGGTAAGATAGTGAGAAAGTTCTGTTCAAACAAGGAGTGTCCTGCTAATCATGTGTCTTTGACTACCTTTTTAAACTCTATAGAAATTTAACGTTTTTGTATTATTACTCGGGATTGAAAGGCAAACATAAAGCATAGAGGGAGAATTTCACAAATTCAACCCTAACTAGTAATATTCTCCCGCATACCAAAGCCTCAATTACCCATTTCCTTTTTCTTTTTTATAATACAGTCAAGGAGGATGTGCTATGCTGAAGTTGAAGAGCAAGACTAATGACCATGAAGACAACATGCTGTACAAGAAGGTTGTACCATGCCATCTTCCTTTTTCTGGCTGTCTTTGCCTTAATCTTTGTGCTACGTCGCATGGATATTTTGCAGGTAAGAACTTGTTTTTATGGGGATCGTTTGATGGGTGGACTTTGCAGACTTATTTGAAATATCTCATCCACGAAGTGCATAACGTCTCTGGAAAAGTTTTCATCTCCTGCATTATTTGCATCTGTCAGAGTTGTATCTCTATTGGAAAATCCCAAAACCTCAATCTAATCGTTCAATTTAACAATCGCTTTCTTCGCTTGTGGCCTTTTACTTACTCGTTTGTTTGATGCATCTTTGACACCTTCTCTCTTTTGTCCCCCTGCCAGTATCATCCTCAAGTCAACCCCATCAAATCGCAAGATTCAATCATCCCCAAAGTAATTTATGGGTTTTGGGGAGGAAAATAATCCTCCCTGTCTTTTGCAGAATTTAGTTAAATATCTGTTATTTGCATATTTGACACCCTGTCTCTCTTTACCCCCTGCCAGTTTCATCCTAAAGTCAATGCCACCATCATCATCCCGAGAGTCTCCCCTCATCATATCGTTAATCGCAACTTCTGCACCTTCCAGCCGCTGTCCCTCCAGGACGCTTTGGAGGAACGTCTCATACTAGACTCCATTGCTTGGCCTGAAACTCCACTTTTGCCATCTCCTATTTCCTTGGAGCAGACCACTGATCCAGCCCACAGCACCTTCACCATTCTCCCAGGGAGGAAAGGGGGGCAGTGGCATGTAGGGGACCAGCTGGAGGTTATGATACAAACCTTTGACTTCCAGGGTCGTCCAAAGAAGTCTGGGGGGGACTTCATAACTGCCCGTCTGCACAACCGGAAGCTTGAAGCAGGTGTGGCCGGGCAAGTTGTGGACCATCTGAATGGGAGCTACTCTGCTGTGTTCTCTTTACTCTGGAAAGGAGACGCACAAGTTGAGGTGATGCTAAAACCATGATCTTCAATGAATTGGTACATAAAGTGTTTTGCTATCATTACATTCCATGTCATTAAGCTGATGAAACAAGACAGTGCTGCCAATGTTCCCAGTCTTTCACACCCATCCTGGAAAACAATGCAGCCGTTTTTCTTTGTTGTAGTGTACAGGGCCCCAGGTCCTTATTCAGAATTTCTTAACAAGTTTGGTTCTTAAAACGGACCAAGGAATTATATATTTAATATTCATGTGGATGTCGATAACGACAGCCTTGGTACTTCATTTCTCTAATTGTCATATTGTACAGAAACCTACTCATTGTGTTGAGCACACACTCAAATTGGTTCTGGTGTATGGTATTGGGATAGAACATTTAACGGTCTTTCCACAGAACCCTCCCTTGTCTTATAACCTTTGAATTTACCAGAATCTGCTCCTCTTTCAAAGGGTTTTTACGGTCAAGGCTTTTCGGATACCGCTGAAGTCCCATTTAAAGAAGCCATTTCTTCTACTCTAAGTTCTACTCTGGTATAACCCACAATTTAAAGCAAACTGTGCATAAGCTTGAACAGTTATGCTGTTAGAAGAATCTAGCCTAGTATGGCGAGACAGTCTTAAAGCATATAAGAAGGCTCTTCGTAATGCAAAAGCAGCTTTATACTCATCATTAGTAGAGAAAAATAAAAATTAAATTACGTGACCTACTACAAAAACAATGTTTCGTTTGAGGATTTCCAGTCAGGATTTCGCGTGCATCATAGCTCTGATGAAAATTACAAATGATCTACTACTTGCATCGGGCCAATCTCTTACCTTGTCTTGCTGGACCTGTCTTGCCATGGTTGTTGTCCCTGCAGTGGTCCTGCTGCACACCTGGCTTACTACTCTCACTTCATTTCTGTTATAGGAATTGAATGTATTCTACATATTTTACATTGTTCATTCTGTACACATGACATCCATTGTAGATTCCTCATGGAAGAAACCCTAGGGAGAAAGGTTTCTTCCATTTTTTCCCCATGGAGGGGTTTTCATTTTTGGAGGGGGGGTTGTCTTGCATTGGACCAAGGGCTTGTCTCTGTTCTTATCTTGCTGGACCTCAGTGGCATGGACCATTAGATTGGTATTAAAGGAACTGCACTCAGATGGTTCAAGTCGTATTTATCGGATTGATCCCAGTTTGGGTTTGTAAACGGTGAAAAAATCTTCCCTCAAGATGTGTCATCTATGTAATATATCTAAAATCAGGAGCTTCCTGTCTCAAACGGATGCAGAAATGAGTTACAGTGTCTGTTACTTCTAGACTAGATTACTGCAATCCTTTATTATCAGGCGGCTACCAGTTGATTCAGAATGCTGCAACACGTGAATTAAGAACTAAGAAAAGGGATCATATTACTTGTGTATTAGCTTCTCTGCACTGGCTCTCTGTTAAATCAAGAATAGTCTGATCTTAATGAGCTTATAATACCGTATTGCCCTACTAGAGAGCTGTGCTCCATAAATGCTGGGTTACTTGTTGTTCCTAGAGTCTTAAAGTAGGATGGGAGCCAGAGCCTTCAGTTATCAAGCTCCTCTTTGGTGGAACCAGCTTCCACTTTCAGTTCAGGGGATAGTCACAGTCAGCTCATTTAAGACAAAGCTTAAAACTTATAACACTTATAGTTAGCTCAGGTTCAGGTTCAGACGTTACCCTGGACCACCCGTTAGATTAGCTGCTATAGGTCTAGACTGCTGGGGGATTTCTTCCCAAGCGGATCTCTCTCTCTCTATCCCTCTATTAATTTACATTTCATTAATGCACATCGCTAATTCAGCTTCTTGTGCTGTCTCACTTTTCCATGGTTCTATCTGGACCCTGTTCCTGTCTCCTGCCATAAACCTGCTGAAAACCGCTGCTGCTATTATTATTATTACTATTATAAATATTAATTCCATTACCACTATTATTATTATTATTATCATCATAAACCAACATTACCCGCTTTTCTTCTTTCCTTCCTGCTTTCCCTACCCACAGGCTTCTGTGGATGGTTCTTGTGTCTGATGGTGGTTGTCCCTGCACTGGTCCTGCCATACACCTAGCATACTACTTGCAATTCAAGCCCAACTCCTCCCTCGTGAATTCCTTTCTGCTCCCAGGCATGACTCTCCCCTGGTTTTATCTGAAGGCCGAATCTGAAAGCCCTCACTGACCTGACCAATCCCTATTCAATATTATTATTTTTTCTAAATATTACAATACATTCAATGATCCCACCTTTGGCTTAAAGCTTCTACATGTAAACATAACAAAGCATGCATAATATTGATATATATTTAATAGCTAGTACACTTTAATAATAACACATCTTAAATCATCACAGTTAATCACATTTTAACCATTATGTTTAACTCCATTTATATGTTTCCGAAATCTAAATATTTGCCTCGCAAGGGAGACCTACATCCTTTTGCTCATAACAGCTTAACAGGAGACAAAAACGTCCAAAAAACCCTCTTTAGGGAGAAAGGGTGTAAGAAATCCATCAAGGAAGGCTTAAGCGTCCTTCCCCTAAGTTTTACACTGTGGGAGGATGTTATCTGTACAATAATTTAAGTAGTTTAATTAAATGACTGTACATTATGATTAATTCATATTGCAGTTATTTAATCTAACATGTTAGTGTAATAACGAGTATCTAATAACAGACAAACTACAATTCTAACACTAATCATTATCGCATGTATTATAATTTTCAGGTGTGATCCTCTGCTTAAATCCCTAACAATGGCCAGGTAATATTTTGCAGTTTAAGTTAAAAATGGAATAACATTGCTTCAGAGAGTGCAGTTATTGACAGTTAGGGCTAAATGGAGTAGCCAAGTGTATGAGGTGCCAGGCGGTTGTGGAGATACTCACAAGTCCCCAGCTGAGAGCTGCTACATTGGAGTTTACCCTGGTAGCAAAAAAGGGTTTCTTCCATACACCATTGAGTTATGGGGGCAGGGGGGACACTGGCTGTTGTCTGTTTGTAACAGACAGGTAACCCTCGAACATCATGGTGGACACCGGTGGTTAGGGAAGCCGTCCGACTATAGGAGAATGGCTTCCGGGTCATTATATCTGGTGGGACGCATGCAGTTGCAGTGCACCGACGGGCCCGAAGGCTGAGAAAGGATCATCATCAAATTGCCTGGTGAAGGTCGCTGAAGTAGTCAAACAACTCTGCAGAGGCAAGGCCCCATGAGATCCATCCAGAGACGCAGAGGGCAGTAGTTTTTCCGGGGAAGTCTGGGACAGTGCCTAAGGAGTGGTAGACCTGGGTGATGGTACCTCTCATCAAAAAGGGGCACCAGAGAGTGTATGCCAATTACAGAGGTATCACACTACTCAGCCTCCCTGGTAAAGTCCACTGCAGGGTGCTGGAAAGGTGCTTTTTGCCGAACCATGGATTGAAGAGGAACAATGTAGATTTCGTCAACGGACCAGCTGATCATGGAGGGGGTGTATGCTAATCTGGTCTACATGTATTTTGTGGACCTGGAGAAGGCTTATCACCAGGCCCCCCGCAATATACTAAGAGAGGTGCTGCAGGAGTACAGGGTGAGGGGCTCCCTACTTGGGGCCATCCAATCTGTCGTCAGGTTCTCTGCAGTAAGTCGCTTGTTTCTGGTGCGGGTTGGCCTTCGTCAGGGCTGCGCCTGGTCACCAATCCTGTTTGTGGTATTCATGGACAAGATATATAGGCGTATTTGGGGCGAGGGGGGTTTACAGTTCAGGGTCCTGCGGATCTCATTGTTCCTTTTTCCAGATGATGTGTTTCTGATGGCATCTTTGGTCTATGACCTCCAAAAATGAAGCGGTTCGCAGCAGAATGTAAAACGATCGGGATGAGGATCAGCACCTCTAAATCTGAGGCCATGGTTCTTGGCAGGAAACTGTTGAGATGTCTGGTAAGAAAGCCCCCTGTAAAGATCTAGGCTAGGTGGAAAGATTATATCTCCGCATTGGCCTGGGAATGCATTGGAACCCTCAGGTAGATGTGGCATAGAAAGTTTGAAGTACCCTGCTGGAAATGGTGCCCCCCAACCCAACCCGGGATGAGCACACGTTTTGTAATGTGCAGCTCTGCAAAAAATATATATTTTCTCAATGATTGATCACAAAGTCTGCCCTCCCTATGTTACTTCTTTTTGTACTGTCAATATTCAGCTTGTAATGGTGAAACGATAAGTCAATTTTTAACAGAGTTGACCTTTTCATGTTATACAAAAGTAATGTGTCATTTATAGCCATGAATTGTAGATTTCCATTGAGTACTGGCTATCTTTCCCATCAGGTGACTCTGGTTCATCCTAGTGAAGCTGTCACAGTGCTGAACAGACTAAACAGAGAACAGCCTGACAGGACTTACTTCAAGAGCCTCTACCGCTCAGGCTCATTCTCTGAAACCACCATCTGTAACGTCTGCCTCCGGCCAACCCAACAACTGCTGTGTAACTACACTGACCTCCGTACTGGTGAGCCTTGGTTCTGTTACAAGCCAAAGAACTTGAGCTGTGATACCAGGATCAACCACTTCAGGGTAGCATTCAAACAGAACATCATATCGAAGGAGGAGAAGCTCTTTCAGAGGTGAGTGAACAGAGAATCGTGAGAGGCATAGAGGTTTGTGACTTCAGGGAGTTAACATTGACCCCATAGTTATTTGAGATTTAAAAATAATACAAATACATTTTACTATTTCTGCAATGATAATCATGGTCGCCTTTGTTCACGTGTCGGTTTTGTGAGCTAGCACTTCTGTATCTTTCAACAGCAAATCTCCCATTCTGATGCAGCAAACTGCATAATACATTTGGTGCTTATTTATGGCTGTATACTGAAAGACCTTAAATTGTTCCTGTAACTCGTTCTGAAAATACTTTTTGTATTTGGTTTTAAACCCACCTTAACTCTACTCTCTCAACACACTTAGCAGCTCACCCTCGTTGCTCTGAACAGTATGTTTGACCAACGGCACTAAGTAGGCTTGCAGCTGCTGTACCTTGCCACAACTCAGATGCTGTTATGCTGGCGCAGGGCTTGGTGAACTTTGTTATTTTTCGCTAGATCGTATGAGGTGTATTATATCGATTGCCTCTATTCATTACCGCTTGGTCTTGAGTTTGCTTGAAGTTGAAGTTTTTTACGACAACAAAGCGCCATTTTGTGTATAGATGTAGAGTTAGTCAATTGTTGGTTGCATTCATTTAATCGCAATACATTTACATTTTTCATTTAGCTGATGGTTTTATCCAAAGCGACTTACAATAAGTGCATTCAGTCAAGAGGTCCCGATGGTCCTGATGTCATTGGGGAGCTCATCCCATCATTTAGAAGCTTTGACAACAGTTGGTATTTTGTTAAGTGTTTGTTGAGACGTGAGTGTGGTGTAGGGCTGTCAACGAATATTATATATTCGAATAGTTTTTTTTAATAGCTATTCTATACTTGAACGTGAAAATTAATATTTGAATGTAAAAAAAAAGAGAGTTTCAAAAATCTTTTTATTATATCTTTTTCTGGTTCAGATATAAAAACGTTTTACAGATTTGCTCTTAGTGAAAAACTACAACAAAACTAAGCAAAAGGAACAACAGATATCACAGGTGGAGAACAAGAGCGTTCTCCCTGACTGAACACAGGAGGTCCTCCAGACCCCAAATATTCATAAAGAGTTTGGTGGTGTTGGTGGGTCTGTAGTAGCCAACTCCACCCTGAGCCGAGCAGCCAGCAGCCCAGTCAGTATCAGACTCACATCCTCCGACCCTCCACCCCGCATACGGTTCTTCCTTGTTTTCCAAATGGCCAGTTTGGACATTCCTGAAAGGAAATTCAAGAGTGTGTGAACATTTTTTGTCCAGCAGAATATTTAGGGCCGTAAATGAATAGTGGTAAAGAGAAGGGTTCTCCTAGGCCCCAAAACCAGGCCTGCAAGCGTCCGAAGAGCCCCCACAGTCTGGAGCACTCGACGAAAAGGTGGTGGACGGTTTCTGGCAGTTGGCAGAAGGGACAGCCTTCCCCCAAACCCAGGTCCAGGTGTACCAGATATTTGTTGGTGGCTATGGCTCCATGCACGACCCTCCACTGGAGGTTTCCTGTCCGTTTGTCCACAGGAGGCTTGTACAGGGACCGCCAGCAGCCCGCCCGGGGATGACTCCCTGCCAAAATATTCATCCCACCTCGACACCCTCACCCCCGCCAACGAGCGTAGGTTGGAGACCTTCACACAGACCTGGTACACCGCTTTCCTCCCCAGAGACTCAAAGTCTCCCAACTGTGGTGTCTTCAGGGACAGCAAGGCATCTCCACCCGCAGTCCACTCTCTTACAGCAGCGTATTCACCCTCACCATCCCATTGGTCACCAAGTGATCGGTCCTCTACAAATAGCCTGAAAGCTTCTGGCAGGGAAGCACAGACCTCCTCCACCAGTCGGAACTGCAGCCTGTTGGACCGGACGTGGGTCATCTCCGCCAGGCGGGGGATGGAGATCTTCACCAGATGGCCCGGCTTCACACAGCTGGCCTCTTTCAATTGAGACCTCATGCTGACGGACATCAGGACCTGAGACGTGATGAAGCTGTGGCTCCTCAAAGAGCCACATCCCCGTTGTTGTCTCAGCACTCTACTTGTGGGTGAAAACCTGCCACGCCTGGAGGACGGACTGGTAGAACACTGTCAGGCCAGTAAAATCCACTGTCTGGGGCTCAAGCAGAAAGAGATGTTTGTCGTACCCCATGCATCCAGCCCTCCTCAGCAGCACACAGGCAGCATCAGTCCACAGGAGACCAAAACTGTAGAGCAGTCTCTGGGCAGTCTGCAGTCTTAAAGCTGCTACTCATGAGGCGATGTCCACTAGGCCCTGAACCCCATCCTGGATCGGTAGGTACAGCGCGGCAGATTTTAACCAGTGGAGGCCCAACCAGAAGAAATTTACAACGGCCTTCTGGATCTCTGCAATCAGGCCCTGCGGTGGTGGTAGGACTGCCAGTTTGTGCCAAAGAGCTGAGGCAACCAAGTTGTTAACAACGAGGACCCTCCCCCGGTAGGACAGCCGAGCAGCCATATCCATTTTGACAGTCTAGTGCGTACCCCGTCCACAGGCCCTTCCCAGTTCTGCCTCTGAAACTCTTCAGTTCCCAAAAAAACACCCCAAACCTTTAACCCCTCCCGGCCCCATCTGAGGTTGCCTGGTAGCCTCGGTACTTCTCCATTAGCCCACTGTCCAACCTGCAAGGCCTCACTCTTTCCCCAGTTCACTTTGGCTGAAGACGCCCTCTCATACAGGTTAATACAGCTATTTAGGAGCTGGACATCCCTCTGATCCTTCACGAAAAACAGTTACGTCATCAGCATACGCCAACACCATCAGAGGGGGGCGCTGAGGCAGCCCAGTTAGCATGACTCCTGACAGACGGGATCTTAACTTGTTGAGTAGGGGTTCAATGGCTATGGAGTACAGCTGTTCAGAGATAGGACATCCCTGCCTGATGCCTCTCTGGACCTGAACTGGACAACTCAGCGCGCCCCCCACCTTCACCAGACAAGTGGCTTTCATATACATCACACCCAACAGGAACATACCCTTCGCCAAAACCAAAAGATCCTAACGTGGAAAAAAGAAAAACCATGATCCACCCTATCAAAAGCCTTTTCCTGATCTAAGGCAATGACACCAACATCAATTTTACAGTTTGCAAACATCCAACAGGTCCCTCACAAGAAAAATGTTATCCATTATGGATCTGTCCGGCACACAGTAGGTCTGGTCTCTGTGGATAATACAGTCAAGGCATTTCTTAAGCTGGTTGGCGAGCACCTTAGAAAACAGTTTATAGTCTGTGCATAGCAACGGCACCGGTCCCCAGTTCTTTAGGCAACAGAGACAGTACCGCATTTCAACACAACGTTGGTAGCAGGCGTGTCTGCAAGCTCTCCTGCAGCACCTGCCACAGGTCGGCTACCAAACAGTCCCAGAAGTGTTTATAAAAGTCCGCAGGCAGTCTGTCAAGTCCAGGAGCCTTACCAGCAGCCATCTGACCCACTGCAGCAGTCAGCTCCGCCAGGGAGATGTCGGTGTCCAGGAAGGCTTTGTCCTCAGGGCCCAGCTGTGGGAGACCCTGAAGCAGCTCAGCAGTACTCTCACATTGGTCGGCCTCTTTCCTGTAGAGGGCGCTGTAGAAGGCGACGGCATGCTGCCTCATCTCAGCAGAGTCGGTTGTCATTTTTCAGGTAGACGGAGACACACCATCTGTTTGGCCCGAGATACAGACCTCTCTAGGTTAAAGAAAAAGGATGTAGGAGCATCCATGTCCCTCACACTAGTGAACCTTGACCTGACCAAAGCACCTTTAGTAACCAGGTGATGGTCGGTGAATCCCACCGGGTGAATGTGACAGGCTAATAGGCGGTTACCATAACTTGAGGACAAGTAAACCCGGTCCAGCCTGGCTGCCCTAATGTTCCCCTCCAACATCTTCACCCACGTGTACTGCCTGACTCGAGGGTGCTTGACTCTTCAAGCATCCACCACGCCTGCCTCAGCAATCACCTGGGACGGAGTGGCAGATGACTGATGATGAGGCTTCTCCCAGGTCCTGTCTACAGAGAAATTGACAGTACAATTCCAGTCCCCCCATCACTATCCACTCATCTTGGTTGTACTGCCGCAGGACATCCTTCAACTTGAGGAAGAGGTCCGTCCGAAGAGGGTCCTGATTCGGAGCATATACGTTGACAAACACAAAGATGATGCCAGCTATAGATGCCCTGACCACTAAAGCCCTGCCTGTCTCTACCTCTGTGGAGGAGAGGATGCTAACATCTAGCCCGGATGAGAAGACGACGGCCACAGCTGCAGACAGGTTGGTCCCATGAGACAGCCTCCACCCCCTCCGTTTCCTCTGTAGTTATACCGATAGCGCTCCGATCGCTCTTCAGAGCGCCTACCTGTCCGCCTTCACTCACCTCTACTTCGGTCTCAGCCGGCGGCGCAGCGCGCTCCGCCGGCTCGTCATCCATTGGAGACCCGGTGTCACCGAGCCCTTCTGCCGGTACGGGTCCCGACTCCTCGGCGGGTTTGTGAGGACAAGCGGCACGCTTGTGCCCCACCCCCCCCGCACAGAAAACACCTGATGCTGCCCGTATTTACATAGATCATGTAATGGCCCTCGCCATGCCTCACTCTGAAGGACACGTCTAGCATCTGTGAGGGACAAGTGAGGAACATGGACACTTGTCTCCTGAAGGACTGGACATGCTTGAGCTTCTCGCTCTTGCAGCCGAGTCCCACGGATTGAAAGCCACTCGCGAGCTTTACCGAAGCGCAGCAGCTCGCGCTCCAGCACCTGGTTGGGGATGAATGGGGGGACACCAGACAAAGTAACGCGCGTAGATGGCATTGCGAGCGGGAACACCTGCAGGTACACACCGTTCAGTAACACGCCGCTAGCCACTAGCTCCGCCACTAAACGCTCCTCCTTAAGGAAAACCAGCAACCCCCGGTTCATTCGGGAGGCGTGGGACAGGTTAGCGTGACCCACGCACTCCCCAACGGCCAGCAGGACCGATTCCACCGGGACCTCCGGGTCCGGCTGGACCCGAATTCCATGCCTCAAAGACAGGGACGGCATCTCGGAGGACGCCATCCCCGACACGAGGTCCTCCGTCCCCTAAACCACCACAAAACCCTCTCCAAAAAAACACCCAGAACCAGTACAGACTACTTACTCATTCACCCTGTGAAATAGATAGGAGATAGGAAATTTTGGTATCACAGCAGCATGTACAGGAAAGAAAATAGAATAAAAAGATACACATTATATACAATATAATAAGAGAAATATTAAATTATTAAATAAAATAAAATAAACTGAAACAAAAGAATAACCTTCCAAAAGAGACAATAATAATAATAATTTGTAAAAGGAGAAGAAGAAAGAGCAGCAACATCACAGCAGTACAGGGTTATTATTGTCATTATTTAGCCTGGGATGATTTATTGTAGAGTGTTATTGCACCGGGCAGGAATGATCTCCTGTATCGGTCCTTGTGACAGCGGAGCTGAAGGAGTCTGTTGGAGAACGTGCTCCGCTGTCCCTGTAGCAGGTGGTGTAGGGGGTGGTCAGGATTATCCAATATGGATAACAGTTTCTTCAGTGACCTCCCCTCCAACACCTTTTCCAAGCTGTCCTGTTTGCAGCCAATGATGGAGCCGGCCTTCTTAACAAGTTTGTTAAGTCTGTTGGTGTCACCGGCTCCAATGCTGCTCCCCCAGCAGACAAAGCACTGGCCACAACAGACTGATCTTGCTGCACACATGGAAGGATCGAAGCTTCCTCAGGAAAAAGAGTAGACTCATCCCCTTCCTGTAGACGGCGTTGATGTTGGTCTTCCAGTTCAGTCTGTTGTCGATGGAGACACCCAGGTACTTGTAGTCCTCGACCATGGCCACCTCCTCTCCCAGAACCCTCAGCGGTAGCGGAGCCGTCGTCTTCCTCCCGAAGTCGACCACCATCTCTCTGGTCTTGGCCATGTTCAGGAGCAGGTGATTTCTGCCCGCCCACACCACAAAGTCCTCCACTACTGCCCTGTACTCCTCCTCCCGTCCATCCCTTATACACCCTACCACTGCAGAGTCATCAGAGAATTTCTGCAGATGGCAGGACTCCGAGTTATACTGAAAGTCAGTGGTATATAAGGTGAACAGGAAGGGAGACAGAACAGTTCCCTGTGGAGCTCCAGTACCACTGACAACTGTATCAGACAGCACGCTGCCCAGTCGGACAAACTGTGGCCTGCCTGTCAGGTAGTCAGTGATCCAGGAGACGGTGGACGAGTCCACCCCCACCACCCGCAGCTTCTCACTCAGCAGCAGTGGTTGGATGGTGTTGAAGGCACTGGAGAAATCAAAGAAAGTTATTCTCACAGAGCCACCCTTTCCATCCAGGTGCGACTGGGCTCGTTGCAGCAGGTAGATGATGGCGTCATCCACTCCCACATGAGGTTGGTATGCAAACTGCAGCGGGTCAAGTGAAGATTTCACCTGCGGCCTGAGGCGGGCCAAGTCCAGCCTCTCCAGCACCTTCATCACATGGGATGTGAGGGCGACCGGTCGATAGTCATTAAGGCCAGATAGAGTTGTCTTCTTGGGGACCGGAACCAGGCACGACGTCTTCCACAGCACTGGGACCTTCTGCTGCTGCAGGCTCAGGTTGAAGAGGGGTTGAAGGACCTCAGCCAGCTGGAAAGTACAGGTCTTCAGGACCCTGGGCCTGATGCCATCAGGTCCTGCAGCCTTGCGTTGGTGGAGTCTCCTCAACAGTATTCGAACCTGGTCAGTCGTCACCGAGAGGGGGGGGATGGGGGTCACGGTCAGTTGGGTAAGGGCCCCTTGAAGTGGCCTCACAGTACATGCCGCTCACCAGGGGAGATAGAGGGGAGAGGGAGGAAGGCAGCAGAGGTGTGGGGGGGTGGAGGAGCCCTTTGAAGTTGGGGGCTCTGTGTCCATGCAGCTCACCAGAGGGGAACGGGGGGAGGGGGGAAGTCAGCTGAGGTGTTTGGGGGGTGAGGTGTGAGGAGGAGACAGATGAGGGCTGTGAGCTGAACCTGTTGAAGAAGCAGTTCAGCTCGTTTGCCCTCTCCAGGGAGCCCCCTGGTTGACTCTGTCTTCCCTTGAAGCCTGAGATCTCAGAAATAAGAGGAAAAGAAGAAAGACAGTCTGAAAAAATCACTAAACTTTCCGCCAAACTCACCAGCTCACCACGTAGAGAGAGCGAGAGAGTCGAATGTCAAAGCAATTTTGACAGCCCTAGTGTGGTGTCCCAACCCCACCGCATAAAGTTTGATCATGTTCTGGATCCCGGGCTCGTAGCTCTCACAGCATGGGCGTTGAGTTTTTGAAATTAACGAGACTGTTTGAGCTCAGATCAACCTTTGAGGAACCAAGATAACCTGACATCAATTATCTTGTTAATTTGAGCTGGCTAGTGTGACATTTGATTGACTTAGTTTAACCACGTGCGAGGAATAAGGCCCTGATCTGGAGAGACAGCGAGATCCTCCTTGTAGCAGTGGCAAGCAATGGCAAGTCTGGCAATCGGTAGAATCAAAAATTCGGCCATTCTGGGAAAATTTGGCTCCGCCCACTCAGCACACCGTTGTGACGCTTGCCCCAAACTTGCCACTCAGGCACTGTTACGGACCTGCCGGCTCCTCCTCCTCGTTTTGTCTATCTCCCCTACAGGTGAGCGGAGCACAGGTGTGACGGGTTTCCTATGATTCCTTCCAGGAACACCTGGGATGGCTTTATGTATCCTGAGGAGTTTAAAAGCAGGGAGACCTGGTGGAAGGGGGGGCTGCCGCTTCTCCTTCTCTCCCGCACCGTTTTGCTGATTTTGTTTCCTTTTACATGACTTTTCATATACCCTGATTGCATACGCTTTCAGTTCTCCTGACTAACACTTATACTGACTTTATTTAATTTACGTTGCTCATTCGTTGTCCTTAATAAACGGTATTTTCTTTCAATCAACTCATCCGCGTGGTCTTCCCTCTCTGTTGCATGGCCAGGCACAGGCAGAATGTAACAGAATTGGGGGCTCGTCCGGGATCTTTACAAAACGACGTCGGTAAATATATAAATAAAAAAATATATATATAATAATTTATGCGTTTGAATGTATTGAGACCGTTTCGTTTAGGTGCGTCTGATTCGGAATATGCTTTTGATCGTTCATTGATTTGAACGTGTTTTTTTGGGAAGACGCATGCGGATTAAGGTGAAAATCAATTGCGTTTGGAACAATTGGTTTATTTATTTATTTTGTTGGTGCGTGAGAGGAGGAGAACAATTAGGTAAATTTGTACCTTGGCCGTCGTTAAAGTAGGCCAGGTTGAAGTATTGGCAGTGAGCGATTGTTTGACAAGTGTAGGTCTGCACTGCGCGTCAAGATTGATTGATTTGATAAAGTATTCAATAAAATTATCAGAGCTTTACGAGTGCCCGTTGGTTGTAATGTTTGTTATTTTAGTTTGTTATTTTTGTGCTATCCCTGGGCAGAGGGCACCGTCGTGGAAGCCTTCTTTAACGGCATTTTGTCGGGGAAGTTAATGCTCCGCTGATATCGTGTAATAAAAATGTCTGTCCTTGGGATATGCATGAAGAGGATCGCTATTTTTTTTCTTTCTTTTTACAGGGCAGCTCTGTTTTGTCTCGTCTGATGCGCAGTGTTGTAGCCACATTTGCATTGGGAAAAGGTGAGCTTGTTATCTTCATTTGCAAGAATTGTATGGGGTAAAAATCGTTTCATTTGTATGGCTAGTTTGGAGGATTTTTTTGTTACTCCATCCGTGGAGGTTTTGAATAATTTGACAAAGGATCAGTTGCGCCGGGTTTGTGACCATTATGGCCTTGACTTAGGTTTACCCAGAACAGCAAAATTAGCCCAGATTAGATTGTCCGTTCAGGCTGAATTGGTTGTTAAGAATATTTTGTCACCTGAATCTAAAATTATGGATGATTTGGGAGAAGCACTGTCGACACCTCATTCGACAGGGTGTTCTAAGGTGGCGCTCACGTTTGAGCAACAAAAGGTGTTGCTAGAAATGCAACAGGAAGAGAGAGAAGCTCAACGTGAGGCAGAACGTCAAGAGAGGGAAGACCACGCGGATGAGTTGATTGAAAGAAAATACCGTTTATTAAGGACAACGAATGAGCAACGTAAAGTAAATAAAGTCAGTATAAGTGTTAGTCAGGAGAACTGAAAGCGTATGCAATCAGGGTATATGAAAAGTCATGTAAAAGGAAACAAAATCAGCAAAACGGTGCGGGAGAGAAGGAGAAGCGGCAGCCCCCCCTTCCACCAGGTCTCCCTGCTTTTAAACCCCTCAGGATACATAAAGCCATCCCAGGTGTTCCTGGAAGGAATCATAGGAAACCCGTCACACCTGTGCTCCACTCACCTGTAGGGGAGATGCAAATAGACAAAAAAAGCACCTGCCCTTTTGCCCTGGATGAGAAAAGTGCCCCTTCTGCTGGAGCACAATTTTTAAGAATAAAAATAACTCATCAATTCCCCCAAATATTATTTGATATCTGACAGGGCATATATTTGAGTTCTTGTGAGAATTTCGCCCCAACATGCTCTGCGGCGCTCACAAGCTCCGCTCCTCCCTCCTCCTTCTCCTCTTGCAGTGCTGAGCGCCAAACGGCTGTAGCGTCGGACAAACCGGTGATGACGGTGTACTTACAAACCTCCCAGCGCTGTTTGGTGATAAATTAACCACAACATTAGCGCCGCTAAAAACATTACGTCGCAACTGGTCCGACGTTTTCCAATAAACAAACCAAAAACTCACGAAATCTGTGATTTCAAAACCTTGTCCAGCTATTTTAAAAACTTTAAACTTTATTTAATTTATGTTTGTCACCTTTACTTTTTCAGACATGTTTTATTTTTGCTTTCTTCTTCAGTGCTGTCAATCTGAAAGTTCCCATTCAGGCTACGGGACCTTCCAACGTCGCTGGGTTGCCAAAAGAGCATGGTAAAGAAAGATTTTACTCATACTAATAGCTATCTTTTCGTTAGCAACATATCTAATCGTTAGGTTATAAGGATAGCCGATACATGGTTCATACCTTCAACCTTTATACCTAAGTTTTGTTTTTTAATGGGACAAACCAAGCCTTATTATTTTCCTCTCAGGTCAGCTGAAGGTGAATAGCAGCTCTGTTACTGGACCCTCTGGTTATTACTACCAGGGTGTGTGGCGAGCACTAGGTGGCACCACAGTCTCTCAATTCAACAGTTCTGCCATCACTCAGTGTCTGAAAGGCAAAGCAGTTCACATGTATGGAGACTCCACAGTCAGGCAGTGGTTTGAATTCCTCAACGCAGTTCTACCAGGTAACTGATCCACAGGGATTCTAAGGATTGTTTGATTTTGTTTTGACTGCAGTTAAATATTTTACCCATGTCAAACTTTCAGGTCTCAAGGAATTTGACTTACACAACCGGAAACCAGTTGGACCTTTTATGTCCTTAGACTATGAAAACAACATCTTGGTGACGTACCGCTGCCACGGTCCTCCTATTCATTGGATCACCATCCCAACCAGAGAGCTTCGTTACATTGCTAATGAGCTAGATGACTTGAACGCAGGCCCCAACACTGTCGTAGTCCTTAGCATCTGGGCTCACATCACCACTTACCCCATGGAGATCTACATCAGGAGACTACAGAGCATCCGTAGGGCGGTGGTGAGGCTTCTGGACACAAATCCTGGCACGATGGTCATCATCCGGACCGCAAACTCCAGAGCTTTGAGCCTTCAGGTTTCGCTAACCAACAGTGACTGGTATTCGCTGCAGTGTGATAAGGTGCTCAAAGCCATGTTCAAAGGACTGAACGTTCATCTGATAGATGCCTGGGAAATGACCCTGGCCCACCACCTGCCGCACGACATCCACCCACCACCTCCCATTATTAGGAATATGATGAACTGTCTGTTTTCCTATATATGTCCTCAAAAGCATGGTTAGATGTTTTTGTTTTGGGGGCGCAAACTGTATTTGAGCACATCTATGGCAGCAAATCACTGTCAAAATTCACGAGCGCAAATCAGGTTGATGCGCACGTGTAAATCAAACATCCACGACCAAAAGTCTGTCTCGCGCGAGACGGACATGTGTGAAGATGAAAATGAAGTCTGAATTTGTGAATATCTTGTCTGTAATAACTTTCAATTCTGATTGCTTTTTGGAAAATCTTAATTACGAGATAAGATATGCGCAGCCTCCTTCATAGTTAGTAGAATTAGTATAAGTAAAATTGGCAAGATATTCACAGATTCAGACTTCATTTTACCAATACGAACTGGTCTGCGAGCTGGACGCATTAGTCGTAATGATGTTAACACATACAGCATTGATTGTACCGAGGCCCTCACAACAGAATGAGTAAAACAATACCCAAATCGGAATTTTTTGTTGTGTGTAACACTGCATGAAAAGTGGGATTTTCGGCAGTATGCGGCACTGTAAGTTGTCGTGGAATTTCAGGTTTGCGGCTGTTCACGGCAATTTGCGGGCCACGCCGAAAACTGCCGTAAATTGTCAGAAATTGACGTGGGCCTCCCTTGGCAGTTGTCCCCCCATGACCCCCCTCCTCGTAATTCTAGGGGAGGCTTTAACATGTAAATGAAAATGCTGTGAGCTATACAAATGCAAATCAGGGTTGCAGAGGGAGTTTAAGCCCAGGTGACATTTTTTTAAAAGGTAAGAAAATCTCTGGTACAAATAAATCAGGCTCAGTAGCCTAATTATAGACTCTTACATTTTAGCTTGAATTGATTTATTTAATTCAAATATGCTAGATTACTGTGTACGCCATTAGCAATGGCAAATGTTATGTAAAAAAGATACACAAAATAACTTCTTTAAAAAAATGAGTTTTAATCAAGGTAAAATGAGCATTCCATGCAAACAACATTTGAATCAGAATGAGGGGTCTGCAGAGATCACAGTCTCCTAGAGCTCAACTACAGTGAATAGTGGCAGGACTATAGTGACCTTTTCTTTGGTTTTACTTAAATGCACAGAGGATGTATTAACCACACATCTTCTAGCAATGCGCTCAACTGGCAGAAATGATGCTGGGTATGACGTATCTGTTCCCTGCAAGTCCCAAACTTCTATTGGCTATCCATAAAAATGTCTGTCCGGGTGGGGATGAAGCCAGGAAACTTGTGCAAGAACATGTTTAAATGCTGTACCCTTTGACACAACATTAGCAACTATAAACTGCTTTATAATGGCTGGTCGTAGTTCTGCTAGAGGGTCAAGGACCCTTAGTGTTTCCACACCACTTAGCATAAACATATGCTGACCTTTCTGCTCTGCATCTATCGATTGAGTAAGTTACATTCATATATGTTACCCGTTTACATGGCAAAACATTCAACCTCAGTGACACAAGGGTACATCTGATGATACATTGTCAACATTGCATGTATGTCAGACTCATCCAAGATTGTCTGGTGGAATGGAGAAAGAGGCACCACTGTACAGTTTTCTAGGGAAACCAAAACACTGCTTTACATAAAGCATATTAGCTGTTTAAAAGTCCCAACCATTTCTCTTCCTAAAATACTGGTCCTCGTATGTGATTGGAGGACCCTTAGACTCCTTGTCCAATCACGTGTGAGGTTATAGGCATGACTCAGACAGCAGTACTTGCAAGACGAGCATGTTACTATATTCAGAAGAACTGTATCTCCAGTTCCTTTGTTTGTTTTTTGCTGGTTCGTGAATAATGGCTGGACGACGTCTCGCGTTCAACTCGCCTTCAACTCCTCTCCGCGGTCAGCAACTTTCGGCCAGTCCGCAGACAGACGAGAAGAAACTGCTGAATGCTCTCAGTGGATTGTCTCGTCAACTCCAACAACAAACTGCCGATATCAACGAGCGGTTCGCTCCCCTTGACCGTTCGGGACTCTCCAGGTTGCTGTCCATAGAGGAGAGGTTGGCGGCTCTGGAGGAACTGACTCAATGAAGAGGAGACGGGCGCACAATCCCAAGATAGCGGTAAGAATATGTTCGATGACTGCTAGCTAAGCTAAAAGTAGCGTAGCCTAAAACGAAAGCTAAAAGTAGCCTAGTAGCCTTACAAGTGAGCAGAAACAGCTTTATTAAAGTGTATTTTCTTTGCCTTGTAGTTTATGGGAAGCGGTGCGACGTCTTCACAACTTCGAGACAAATTATAGGCGCTACGAACCAGAGCAAGGGTAAGATTTAAAGAATATGCTTTCATTCTGCGGTATAAGGAAATATATACGTATAGATACCATAGGATGGATACGGATCATAACTGTACATTTTGTTTTCAGACTAATCTGGCCTCATAATGAGGCGGTGACCTCGTATTTGCTCTGGGAAAAGTCCAGATTTCGGTTTAGAGAAAAGACGTCATTCCTTGTTCAATGTTACTGTGACTTGCGTTTTTTATTCATACCACACTCATTAAATTGTTTTCCAGCCGCCTGTAAGACGTATTTTGAGACGGTACGCAGGAGCTTCAGGTTTTGCCAGCCGGAACACTCATTGCGGGCGTAAGCTCCGAGAGATTCAGCGCTGAGTCGAGCGAGAAGAAAGAGGGTAAGAGTTTATTTGCTGACTTTTTTCAGGTGCATTGATAGATGTGTTGTGTCCATACGCATCGCGCAGTACTGATTCATTGTTTTTACAGCTGCTGGAATTGAGGCAAAGTGTGCTGGCTGATGACGAGGTGGAACTCTGGAAATCCGCCACCGTAGAGCTCACGTTGGACGGAGAGGATGGCGTTGTTGGTGGGGTCTCGGGGTGGATTGTATGGTCGCCGCCATTTCTGAGTCAGTCCCGTTAGAGGCGACTCAGAAATACAGAGCCACACACACTAGGCGCCTGCACAACAGACCTGCCTCGGAAAACACGCCGCCAGTGATGGTCTACAACCCCGAAGAGGCAAACAGACAGTTTACTGAGCTGTAGTTTTTTAAACCGCCTTGACCCAAATGTGGGCAGATCCTCACTTTGTATATAGTTGTTGTTTGTATGTTGTTAATAAAGCTCTTTCTTTGCATAAACATGTGGCAAATGTTCATTTTATCTATAAATTTATGGATGTCCTAATAATAGTGTAGTAGCCTACATAGGATAACAATGAAATGAATATTCAGCATAATATGAATATATAAATAAAATGAGGCGGGTGACCAATAGCGGCAAATCTGCCAACCAATCACGAGTGATTGAAAGTTGTGGTTTCATCCAATCATGAGCAAGGAAACTCAAGCCTGGTCTGCCCAGGTGTGGTTTTGCTGCCAATCACGAGGGAATTTTCTTGTTTGAAAGTTGTGGTTTCATCCAATAAGGAGTAAGGATATTCAACCCCGCGGGGCGCGTAGTTCACGTCCGAGCTGTGGAACGCGGTGGCCCAGAGCCTCGGAACGAAACTCCACCGCACGACTGCATACCACCCGCAGGCTACTTCCACCATTCCCTGGTCTGCAACCTTACAGCTGGCCGCACTACTGGACAATGCAAAGCTTTTCGCACCTGTCCCTACTTCCCGTCACGGCCTCCCTCAGTCGCACGTCCCTGCTGGGCTTCAGACGGCTGAATACGTCTTTATTTGCCACGACGCTCACAGAGGACCGCTGCGCCCGCCCTACGAGGGCCCATTCTGGGTTTTGGAGACGGGAGACAAACATTTTGTGGTGGACATGGGTGGTAAACCGGAGCGACTCTCCATCGACCGCCTCAAACAAGCTAATTTGGACGTTGCTAGGCCCATTGAATCGGCCCAGCCCCCACGTCGCGGGCGTCCTCCAGCTCTGCGCCCACCCCCTGTGTCCCTCCCTCCCGGGACTCCCACACTTAACGCCCCACGCCCGTGTCACGGTGGTATACCTGCCACGGTTGTGGCTCCTCGACCCCCTCTGAAACACAGCCGTTCTGGTCGGTTAATACGACCACCTCCCAGATGATTATTTTTCTTACATGGTGAATTCTGGGGGGACGTGTGTAGTGAATGTGACTGAATTATTCACCTTTGTTCTTGTTTTGTTGTACACGTAATTGCGACTGTTCCGGGATCGCGGTCCCTTTAAACGTTTTGTTTTTTATGACGTAGAGACCCTTGCTTGTGAGGTTACAGGGCTGCGCCATCTTATGAGTTTGTGGTGGTAAAAATAAACGAGACACACGCTGGTGTTCTCAACTCGCGGAATTGCCTTTTATTCCAAATGCAACTTCCACAATGTAACTATTGATAGTTTCATTTTCAATCTAATCTGAAATTGACCAAAAGTAGTCTCGTGATGGAGAGTTTGAAAGAAATTTGCTCATGTATGGTATTTTGAGAGTCTTAAATTTTGGAATGGTAGATCAGAATGACCTGCTTATCCCTGGGTGACACGTTCGGCATGTTTACTATTACTCTGAAGTGAAATCATCCTGTTAATATTGATAGTATCCTTTTAAATCTAATGGGAATTAGATTAATTGACCTGAAGTAGTCTTGTGAATTAGATTTTGAAGGAAATTGGATGTTAAAGATGAAGTTTGCGAATCGGCATTCCTGGCGTCGATCCGTATGGTTAACGTGTGGAGTAGCGAGGACCTGTCCAACGTTGCTCGCAGCTTTAATTTTTCCTTTGTAACTTCATACCGAGACCCGACGAACAATTTATTTTGTAAAAAAATTGTGCCTTCAGAAGGCTTATTTCACAGAATCATCTGAAAAGCATGCAATTGAAAATTTCTTTAGAAAAGGGCAGGTACATTAAAGAAAATAATTATTAAATCATAATTTAGATGAACATTCTGTCAATAAAACATTCAACATAGTTAATTGGGAGATTAAACTACGCTTTGTGTCTGACCAACCCAAGCCACTACCATAGCTCCTAACTAATTATCGTTGGACATGCCTCTGCAGCAGAGCCAAGCTACACTCGCCACCACTCATGAAGGAATATTGTAATGTTGCACATCAAATTAAACATTAGCTTGGGGCTATAAGGACATACACACCATATTTGCATGCTCCAGACAACTTAAAAACATCCAACAATTGAATGACCAAATAAAACTCGTATGATGAGAAGTAGACGACCTAGGCAAAACATTTTTAGCTCAGTGCTACTTAATAACACAAATGGTATCTCTACAGAAAGCAGACATACAGCTCACCCAGCCATTTTGTCTGGACCTTATTGGATTTTTTCACTCTTTTATGGTAAAATACAGTCTGGGTTGATTTGAAAGAAAAAGCCCTGCTTATGTATTGAACACTTTGTGTTATACAAGTAGAACAAATAGTTTTGTATATGACAATGCAAATGGCACCGTGAACGGTTTGTTTTTTTCCCCCACTTTTAGGGCACTCTGCCTTTGGTATTGATTTCAATACAATCCCGCTGCTGTAAATGTTGAGAGGATAGTATGCCATTGTCACAGGCCGGCTCATAGCCTGTGGCAAGAATGAGGGGACACAAACACCAAGTATAGGCCAATCAAAAGAAGAGTTTATTATAAATCAAAAACTAGTAACTTTAAACAAAGAAAAGGAATGAGGTGTGCGAATGTCATAGTGTAAGGTGTATGTAAGGTGCATGGTTGAGTGAATCTGTATGTGTAAACATGACTGAGTGTGAACAACGTAAAACCTTCAAAGGAACAAACAAAACAGGATCATACCTGGAGGAGCAGAGAGCCAGAGAGAAGTGGTTAGAGGCCTTCTTATACCTAGAGCCCAGGTGGCTCCAATCGCTACAGACCCTCCTCTGCCTGCAGGAGGAACCGCCCCTGCAAGGCCGAGGAGGAGCCGTGACACCCCCCTCCTTAAGATGAGGGTCCAACCCTCAGCCCCAAAATTTGGCCCACATTGAAAACAATCCAAACAGTTCCCTCAAAATACAACAAAAAGAATACCCGTCCTGGCTCCTAACAGTCACCCTGTGTCCCCCGCCTGACTGTCCATACCTCAAACTCTGCAGCCCTGGTACCTAGGGAGTAAATTAAGAGAAACGAGGCGCAGACAACCCGTAGGGGTCAACAGAAAGAACATACCAACTAGGTTACAGGAGCACGGGACAGAGCGTCAGCAATGATATTATCCTTGCCACTAATATGTCTAATATCAAGGTTGAACGGTTGCAGGAACAAAGCCCAACGCATCAAACGCTGGTTGAGTCTGGGAGTTTTTCAACCGACCCTGCAGGACTTCATCAGAAACCCTAATGACCTCCTCCTCTCCCCCATCCACAAAGTTTAAGCCACAAGATACAGTGACTGGAGCAGCAGTCAACGCTGACTTCACTACTCGAGTGCCCTCCACTTTGCTTTGATCACGGGAGTGATAACATTTTAACAGGTTCACATGGCATAATTTAGAGGACTTCCTATACCCCGGAGTTTCAATAAGATAGTTCAAATCTGACACTTTGCGCAACACATTAAAAGGACCACAGTATTTTGCCTGAAAAGGTGAACTTACAAGAGGCAAAAGAGCAAGTACACGATCACCGGGAGTAAACTCACGCAACTCCGCCTGTCGGTCATATCTCAATTTCATTTTCTTTTGAGAACATTTTAGCTTTTCTTTCACCAGTTCTCCAGCTCTATACAACTTCAGCCTAAATCCATTTACATAGTCAATGAGGTTCCGAGGTGGTTCTTCAGGCAAACAACCATCCTGCAGCACTGCTAAAGGCCCCCGTACCTTATGACCAAACACCAAATCATTTGGGCTGAACCCTGTGCTCTCCTGTACTACCTCACGAGCAGATAGTAGTAACCAAGGTAACCCCTCCTCCCAATCTGCAGACAGTTCTGTACAGTACGAACGAAGCAAAGATTTTAAAGTTTGGTGAAATCGTTCCAAAGCTCCCTGGCTCTGGGCATGGAACGCAGTAGACTTGTTGTGTTTAACTTTTAGCTGTTTGAGAACCTGAGCAAATAAATGGGAGGTAAAGTTAGAACCCCGATCTGACTGGATGATTTTTGGAATTCCAAATGTAGAAATGAATTGAGTTAATGCTTTAACTACTGCTTTTGAAGTTATGGTACGCAAGGGAAAAGCTGCCGGATATCTCGTTGCGTGACACATAACAGTTAATAAGTAGTTATGACCTGACTTAGACCGTGGTAAAGGCCCAACACAATCGATAATAAGATGCTCAAAAGGTTGTCCTATGGCTGGTATTGGATACAAAGGAGCTGGCTTCACAACCTGGTTTGGCTTGCTTGTGCGCTGACACGTAGGACAAGTTTTAATAAACTGAGCTACAGCTCGCTTTAAACGAGGCCAGAAAAAATGCCTGAGTATGCGATCATAAGTTTTACGAACACCCATGTGACCTGCCACCTCACCATGTGAAGTTTGCAACACTTTGTTTCGCAAAACAGTAGGTACAACTATCTGAAAAACTGGTTCGCCTAGACCCTGAACAGAGTGTGGAACCCATTTCCTGACCAACAGTCCCTCAAGAAGAAAATAGCACTGAGCATTATTCCTCACCGCTGCCTCAGGAACAACTCTATCAAACAGATCAGTTAAGGTAGTATCGGCCTTTTGCTCAGCTATCAATGACTCTCTAGAACTAGTCAACTGTTCAGTTTGAAGTTTAACTGGCAACTCGAGACTTTCTGGCTTACTCTCAATCTTCTTGAGTGCGGCAGAGCGGGTAACAGCACACCCTGGAAATACCTCAGGAGACACACAACTGTATTCTGGAGATACCTTTGCAGGGGGCACTGAAGGTTGCTTCTTAAAGATGTTTATTTTGCCATCCGCCCACACCTTACTACCTGCCAAGTCATTCCCCAGAATCATGTGTATTCCCTCTACTGGCAACTGGGGTCTAACCCCAACCGCTACATCACCCGCTACCAGACCACATTTTAGAGTTACTACATGTAAAGGGGAAGAGAATGGAACTAAACCCATGCCACGTACCATTACACAACTGCCAGTATCAGACACCTTAGAGAAAGGCAAAATGGACTCCAAAATAAAAGAATCCAAAGCTCCAGTGTCTCTCAAGATCCTAATTGGAACATTGTGGTTGCCATCTACCAGCGACACCACACCATCCGAAACAAAAGCTGAAAAGTCACCTTGGTGAGATTGAGAACCAAACTCAACTTTTGGCTGAAAAAACTCACCCTGATGGTCAGAGGCTGTACCAGAAACGGCCATCACAGCCGGTTTAGCTTGAGCTAACTTCTTTGATCTAAGTAACGGACAATCTTTCTTCCAATGTCCTTCAACTAAACAGTAGCGACAGGTATTATCTTTTAATGGTGCTTTAGGTCCCCCAAAACCAAACTTCTGTGGCCTTTGGAACGAAGCTCCAGAAAAAGATGACTTACTATTCCTAGGAGTAAAGTTTTTAAAGTGCATATCACTATTTGACTCAAAATGGCTTTTATGTGTTAACCTGTGCTCATCTGCAAGGACTGCTGCATCACTTGGCGACTTAACTTTTCGCTCATTAATGTATGTAGCAACCTGGTCAGATACAGAGTTTTTGAACTGTTCTAACACGATCAAGTTAGACAGATCCTCAAAAGTACTAGCTTCAGAAGCTGTACACCAACGATTAAATGCAGAAGTCAAATCGCGAACAAATTCAGAATAAGTCTGCGAATCTTGTTTCTTCCTGTAACGAAAACGTTGACGATATGCCTCTGGTACGAGCTCGTAGACCTTCAGAACTGCCGATTTAACTTTAGCATAAACTTTACTGTCAGCTACACTCAGTGCTGAAAAAGCCTCACGTGCCTTACCTGTAAGTGCACATTGCAACAACATAGTCATGTCCAGATCTGACCAAGCTCTAGCTTCTGCAATACGATCAAATAGCGTAAAGTATGTGTCTGGATCTGACTCATCAAATTTAGGCAACAAACGAAGATTCTGTGAAACGTCCAACTGTTGTACTCCTTCTGGTCTATTGACATTCCGCAATCGTGCTATCTCTAACTGCATTTGCAACAGCTCCCGCTGCTGCTCAAAAGTTAATGAAGGGCTAGACTGAAAACTTGCACCCTCACTAACAGAGTGACCCCAAACACCACCTATTTCTCTAAGACCCTGCTTTAATCTAGCTTTGACAGACTCTTTAAGTTTTCCATCATCAATCTCAATCTTATAATGGTCAGCAATTTCAATTAACTGCTCCTTAGTACACAATTCCAAAGCTACCTCTGAAGGAGTTTGAACAAAACCACTTAGAATAGAAGACATTTTCCTCAACCAATACAACCATTACCAACTCTGAGGGAAAAAAAAAATGTACACAATTCACCTACTGCCAGTCTGGGTTTAAGGACAGGAGCCACACCCCACTATTCTCCAAAAAAAACTAACTAACTGGCCCCTAGTCTTCGTGCAGTCACATGTGGTGGGTTTTTATGCACACAAAACCAGCAGAGTGGAAAGACAACCAGAAGCTGGCTGCCCCCCCACATCCACGGAGGTGCTCCCGAGCCGATGTAGGGGAAAAGGAAACAAGGGAAGCTCTACCCACGTTCACTGCCACCTAAAACAAAAACACCACGAGCCTCCTATTGATACTCGCTGATAAGCCTCAAAAGGAGAGGACTCCCATCTGAACAAAACCCCAGAAAAAGCAGAGTGAATTGTGAACTCAAACTATAAAGCTAACCAAACAAAAGGAAGACCTGGCTCTCAATGCTCTCTCCAACAATATTGGCCAAACTAAAGCTTCCCCTCAAACAAAAAGTTTGGCAATCTAACCTAACATGATTAACCCAAGTTAACTACAGAACAATAATCAACATGAACCAAACTTCAAGTAAACAAATATAATCAATGACAAAGCCAAAACAATCTAGACAAAACCTTAACCAAATAAGGCAAACTATTAGAGTACTCAAATACTAACGACTAAAGTATAATTAACTTTAACTTAAGGACGAGCCCCCATTTGTCACAGGCCGGCTCATAGCCTGTGGCAAGAATGAGGGGACACAAACACCAAGTATAGGCCAATCAAAAGAAGAGTTTATTATAAATCAAAAACTAGTAACTTTAAACAAAGAAAAGGAATGAGGTGTGCGAATGTCATAGTGTAAGGTGTATGTAAGGTGCATGGTTGAGTGAATCTGTATGTGTAAACATGACTGAGTGTGAACAACGTAAAACCTTCAAAGGAACAAACAAAACAGGATCATACCTGGAGGAGCAGAGAGCCAGAGAGAAGTGGTTAGAGGCCTTCTTATACCTAGAGCCCAGGTGGCTCCAATCGCTACAGACCCTCCTCTGCCTGCAGGAGGAACCGCCCCTGCAAGGCCGAGGAGGAGCCGTGACACCATGCAAAATTGATAATGTTGGCATAACTTTTTAAGGACGAAAAACTATTAAGAGTTTAGGATAGGAAAAGGGGACACCTAAATCTAATTCGAAAATTGTGCGGAGTAATCCAGGAAGATTTTATGGAGCGCGTGTCGAGGCTTGTGTTGATGACGTATGTGATGACGTTCGAAGGCTCGCGAACCAGCTGTACCACGTGACTGATTCAGGAAATGGTTCATAGGTCTGGAGCACGATTAAAAAAAAAACAGGCAGCGAAACGCAAGGAGTCCCCGGCTACATTTTGTGTACTTCGGACTTTATTGCGCATTTGTTTACAAACTATCAAGCTTCTTTTTTCTGTGATGGAACCAGTTAATGATAACTAGCGGAATATACTGTAAATAAATCTGACACAGCGGTTAGGGGTTATCGCTTGTTCAAACATCTTTCTGGTATCTTAAAAGGTGAAGTATCAGTTGTGTTCAAGGGAGCTTTGATACAACAATAACACCTTATCTATGCTGAAGCATTAGAGAGTCCTGCATGAGAACAAGGAGACCAAGCAAAGTGAATCAAACCTTGGACGTTTGGAGAAGTCCCTGGAGTATTGGGAAGAACATAAAAAGTGTATCCTAACTTGTATAAACTTGCTGTGACTTTTCTATGTAGCCCAGCTTCATTTGTGCCCTGTGAAAGGGTTCTCTAAAGCAGTGTTTTTCAACCAGTGTGCCGCAGCACAGAGGCTGTCAGGTGTGCCATGAAAAAAAATTATTTTTTACACACTGTCACTTCATTGGTGAAAAAAAAAAGAGCCAACTTGTGTGTTTGTGTGTGTGTGTGTGTCGTGGCGCTGTTGGTGGTATGAAGGCTCAATACTCGCCTCTGCCTGTGGGTGGCGGTACGCAGCGTAATTAATAGGCAGATTTGTTGAGGCGACAATTTATAAAAGTGAGTGTAACAGGTTGGTCCTCTGGGGGGGTCTTGGAATGACGAGCACGAGGCAGTCGGGTCCATTGTAAATGTTTTTATTTATTGTTTCACACCAAAAACGCCACCTGGCTCCAACCTCCTCGCCTCGCTCTCTTGCTGTCGCCGGATCTCTCCTACTTAACAGAATACTGATTGCTGATTAACATCAGCTGAGGCCAATTGCCTCCCCCGGCACCGTTCCCTGAACCACTCCCTTCTCAGTTCCCCCCTGCAGCCGAGCCAAACCACGCCCGCCACCACATACCCCAACCGCCCGACCTAGGCCGGGGAGCCATCCGGCCGAACCCACCTCGCCCTCGAGAGGGCGGGAGAGAAAGTCTGCCACGACCATCTGCGCCCCGGCCTATGGACCTCCTTGAAATTAAAAGGCTGTAGAGCCAGATACCACCGAGTGATCCGGGCGTTTCATGCGGTGGAGCAATTGGAGCGGGGCGTGGTCCGAACAGAGGGTGAATGAGCGTCCCAGGAGGTAGTAGCGTAGGGAGTCGACCGCCCACCGGATGGCCAGGCACTCCTTCTCTACTGTGCTGTACCTGGCCTCCCTCTCGGACAGCTTCCTACTGGTGTACACCACGGGGCGGTCTACCCCCCCCACCTCCTGGGACAAAACAAACCGCTTCTGCAACCTGGCAACGTCCGCCCTCTGGCTCTCGGAGAAATGAGCGTCTCGAGAGAGCGAGGTATGATTACCTGCTTTTGGAACCTCCGGCCCCAGCTCCTCCCTTTCCGATACCGCAGAGACAAGAGAGACGGGCTCCACCCCCCTCAGGCTTTCAGGAGGTCTGCCAGGTGGAATATCTGTGTACCCCCACCCCTGTCAGACTGCACCACCTCGTAGTCGACGTCCCCCACCTGCCGTGTGACCTCGATGGGCCCTTGCCACTTGGCTAGGAGTTTAGAGTTGGAAGTAGGAAGTAATACAAGTACCTTTTCTCCCGGTGTGAATCGTCTCTCTCGTGACATCTGGCCCAGCGTGTGGAGTCGCAGGTCCAGGACGTACTGGATCTCATTCTTGCAGGGGCTCGGACCTTCCCCCCAGTTTTCTGTAATCAGGTCCAGCACCGAGGTGCCCTGGTCAGTCAGAATCTCCTTAGGGATACCAACTCGGGAGATGACCTGAAACAGAGCCTGCGCGACGGTCTTGCCGTCTGCAGAGATATTGCGCAACGGCACTGCCTCCGGATACCGCGTTGCGTAATCCACGAGAACTAACACAAAGCGATATCCGCGTGCGCTCCGGTGAAACGGCCCGATAAGGTCCATGCCGATCCGCTCGAACGGGACCTCCACCAACGGCAGAGGACGCAACGGCGCCCTTGGAATGGCCAGAGCGTTCACTAACTGATACTCCGGGCAGGACGCGCACCGGCGGCGCACGTCCCCCCGGATGCCTGGCCAATAAAATCGGGTCATTATCCGGTCTAGCGCTTTCTCGTATCCCATGTGACCAGCCATCGGGTTATAGTGAGCCGCCTGGAAGATAATTTCCCGGCGGCTTTTCGGCACCAGCAACTGTGTGTTTTCCTGCCCCGTCTGAGTGTAACGACTCACTCTATACAGTCTGTCCCTAATCAATGAAAAGTGCGGAAATGACTGCGCTGCGTCAGGGCGCACCAGGTGACCATCAATACATATCACTTGGTCGTAGGCTGAGCGTAGGGTATCGTCACGAGACTGTTAGAGTGGAAAATCTTCCATGGAGCGAAACTCGAGAACCGGCCTCCCCGAGTTATATATATATATATATATATATATATATATATATACATATTATATACATATATATATACATATATATTTATATATATATATACATACATATATACATATCTAGCATATCTAGCTTCTCCCGTAGTTGCCTGATGAGCTGGTCTCCCATTTCCAATGCTGCTGCAGGTGCCGGCTTTATTTCCTCTGAAGGGTGTGCTTCAGCATCTTCACGAGCAAGCCTGGATTAACCATATGGGCAATTGGCCCAGGTCGACCGCTAAAGGGCCCCTGGCCGGTGAGGGCACAAGCAAAAAATCTGGTTATCTCTCGCTTATAAATTAAACTGTCCGCCGAAGCCGTTGCGCTGCACAGAATCTCTGTCCCTGGCTGCCTGCGACTGTGTCCGTGAGCTGTGACCCTCTCCTCACCAATGAGCAATGAGGTGGGTCAAAGGTGACACAAGTCAACGTGCACTGAGCAGGTTGCGTGATGTAAGGGGTCGTCGTGGCGCAGGGGTTAGAGAAGGTGTGCTGGGAAGCACAAGGTTGTTGGTTCGATTCCAGGCTGCCCCATGTTCCATGTCGAAGGGTCCCTGAGCAAGACATCTAACCCCTAATTGCTCCCCGGGTAAGTCACCTTGGATAAAAAGAGTCTGCTAAATGACTTGTAATGTAATGTCAAGTGTAGCAACTCAAAAAATGCGAACATGGAGAAGCTAAGCGGGAGCGCTAAACGGAAATTAAAAAAGGACATCAGAAACACAGAAAATGTATATTATATACCGAAAATAGGTCATTTCTTCACTCTAGTAAATGCTACCAACTGTTTTGCTAAGGCAGCTTCCGTCAACGACGACAGCTCAGCTAGCCAGGACATTTCTTCACTGCCGAGCCCACCGCTAGCTAATGTCCACATCCCGGAGAGTGAAGAGCCCGCGGCATCTTCAACTGACCGCCCGGAAAGCAACACATGCTTTCTTTATTGCACAGGTCTAGACACACATGCAGAGTTGAGAGTTGACACTTTTCTTGCCCGACAGTGTGAGCCAGAACAGCAGTACTAACCTTGCCTCTGTCTAACTCTGAGGGTGAGAGGTCGTTCTCTGTTTTGAAACGAGTTGAAAATGAGCTGAGCACCACAATGTCACAGACACGGCTCTCTGCACGTTCTCTCTTGGCCATTGAACATGAACATGTTAGTGCCCTTGATTTTGAAGATATTGTACACCAGTTTGGACATTCAAAGTCCAGAAAAATGCCACTGTAAGATGTGTTTGCCAAATGAAATCAAGCATATCACATTTAAACTAGGGCTGTCAAAAATAGCGCGTTAACGGCGTTAATTAGTTGTTTGTTGTTAATTACGTCAATTGTTCTAACACAATTCACGCATGCGCAGTGGGACAAATTATCAGGTCAGGAAAGTACCTCTTCCTCTAGGGAATGCACTTCATCTTATAGAACACATTACTGCCACCTGCAGGCATAAATCAGTACTCAGCAGTGGAGACCAACAGCCAATCACAATGGACCTTTAATTCTCTGATTGGTTGGTTTTGTGGCACAAATGTAACGCTGCTGAAAGTCGAGCGAGCGCAGAGTGAAGAGGTGGAGAGAGCGCAGCAACGGCTCCCTGCGCGCAGAAAACCAGTTTGTGGAGAGGGCACCTGAGTAAACTGCGCGCACGGAATATGTTTTTCTTTGCTAAAATATAGTTCTCTGTGCTCAAAACTTAAAATTACGCGCTCAGGATTGTGGCACAAATATAACGCCATAGACGACAACCATTGGGACTGACGCATTTTGCGCGCAACATGGTTGCCGCAATTAGACTTACACGCTATGAACACATTAACTGTGTCGCTCACATGGTGCAGAGAAGTGTCACAGTGAGTCTTGCTGACAGCGGCTTTGTAAATTCTTTGGCCAAGGCTCGCAAAGTTGTCGGTCATTTTAAGCACAGCCCAACAAAGGCTGCGGAGCTTCAAGCACAACAAG